AGGAATAAATGAATCACATGGGAAAATGATATTGTGCTGTGCATAAGAAGGTAGTTACAAGCAGAAAATTAAGGGAAGGGGCAGTCCAAGAAATTAAATTTGTGTTTGAAGGATAAATCGTTCAAATGAGAGTCAGCAGGTGAAACAATATTGGTCTCTCCTGTGTCCCCTGATCGTAGTCAAAATTATAGCTGCAATAGCATTCCCCAGCCATCTGTGATTGTGACATTATAGTCCTGCAGAGGTCAAGCCTGCATCAAAGTGCATTGTACTCCAGAAAATAAGCCATTTGGATTCTACTGTAGAATCCTTGGTTCAATATGAATTCTATCTTACGGTTCCCGTATTACTGCAAAATTACATATACCCATATGGTTTGCATTCACATACATTTCTCAATTTTAAAACTGCACACCACTAAACCATAATGGGTGGGTTCACAGCTCATGTTAAATCAAAGACAAATTGCTTGTACTCAGAAACGGTGATCTGCTTAAAAACATTGATCCACTCCAAGACAGTAGCCCACATATTGACTGGAGTGAATGGATATTGTCATGCAATAAAACTTGTAGGGAAGTACATCAGGGAAAATCGCAGTAATCAAGTTTTGGAGATTTGCGTATCAGCTTCTAAGAAATTGATGGCAATGGAAATAAGAATTGTAAAAGACTTCCACTGCTTGACATAAAGTCCTTCAGACTTCCCCCAAACTAGGGATATTACCTTTAACTGGCAAGTGCTTTCATTCCCAAAAATTACTGGGCTGAAAAAAAGGATTAAATGTGAGTAGAGTAGAGTAGAGTAGAGTAGAGTAGAGTAGAGTAGAGTAGAGTAGAGTAGAGTAGAGTAGAAATAGAATAGGATAGGATAGGATAGGACAGGACAGGACAGGACAGGACAGAACAGAAGAGCTGGAAGGGAGGTAAACCCTACACCACTTCAGACAAATGGTTATCCAATCTCTTCTTTAAAACTTCCAGTGTTGGAGCATTCTCAACTTCTGGAGGCAAGTTGTTCCACCGAATAATTGTTCTAACTGTCAGGAAATTTCTCCTTAGTTTTAGGTTTACTTCTCTTCTTGATTAGTTTTCACCCATTGCTTCTTGTCTACCCTCAGATGCTTTGGAGAATAGCTTGACTCCCTCTTCTTTCTGGAAGCCCCTGAGATATCGGAACCCTGCTATCATGTAGTCCTTCTTTTCATCAACCTAGACATACCCAGTTCCAGCAGCTGTTCTTTATATGTTTTAGCCTCCAGTCCCCTAATCATCTTTGTGGTTCTTCTCTGCGCTCTTTCTAGAGTCTCAACATCTTTTTTACATCATGGCGATCAAAACAAGGGAGTTAATATGTGCAGTATCACCCATGCCTGGGGGATATTGTTTCAGAAACTGATTAAAAACCTATTGGGACAAAACTTTTCACAAGCAAACACAACAGAAAGTAAAGTCTGTCAAGGTGTTTCCAGTTCTTTTAAAAGATTAACCGCTATCTTGACCAGCCTTTTGGACCATCAGTGTCAGGAAAAGTGACTTTCACTGCAATCACTCACAAAACTGCAGTAATGAAACCTTGATTTAATAAGCCACCATTCGCAAGAGATGAAGTGAATCAAATTTATTTTCAAATATATCCCCCCAATGCTGAACTAATTGATTCCATCCAAAACCATGTGCATGAATTAAACATACGTTATTTTTACATAATTCATTTGTACCTATTTATTTCACTTCTGTACATTTATGTCATTTTATTCATCAGCCTGAAACCAGCCAGAATTGAAGCCAATTTGCAGAAAATTGCATTATGAGGTCAATGCAAGGATTACTTCAATTGATATAAATGATATTTATAGAAATATAGTGAGAAGTTAACTATTAAAATATCATGGAAAAGTTAAGTGAGATATAGTTCACAAAGCAACTCCTCAATACCTGTATATTTTAATGATGTAAATTGCAACTATAACTATATAAACAATGTAAATACAATAAAATTACTAGAAAAAGGAAAAAAAAACAAGACCATAGTAGTAGTCTCGCTATTTACATTGATTTCTCAAAAATAGGAGCATTTGTATTTGAGTGAAAACATAAAAACAATACAAGTATGATAAATTTTAAAGATCAGTCTATTATTTCTAGCTTTGGTAGAAAATTCTGTTCTGCCATTTAGCTAACATATTTTCATGCCATTTTGCTTTTTGTCTGATCTGCCAAAGACTTTTTGACAAACTCCCTGCATAAATGTTCCTGTCTGCTCACTTGACTTCACAAGGTGGAAAGCTGGGTTGACCTTGTGCTATATTTTTCAGCAGTATTTGCTGGTTAATATGAGAGCTTCAGTACAAAATGCCTGCAGGACACCATTTTCTTCATGGCCATGTACATCTCTACAGCTCTGAATTCCTCACAGGAATCCAATTATCTTTCTTTAAATAGTGAGATTTTTTACATATAATTTAATTCACAAATTCATTCATGCCTGCACAGTTTCAAAGTTCTGGAATAGGTAGAATTGTGTCTTTTTTAAAATGTTCAGTTTCACTCTTAGAGCAGCAACATCTGGAGATGAAGAGATGAGCATCAAAATCATTGCCAGTCTACTGCTCTACTTGGAATATGTAGTATAGCATTTAAAATTGAGGATTATTTCCCTGAAAACATTGCGACAGTAGTTATAAGATATGAGGAACATTTTTCTGTAGAAGCCTGCCAATTATTGGTAGCAATGTTTAGGTAATTCATTTTTAAGTAGACAAAAAGGAGAAGGTTTTTAGGAAGTGGAAGTAAACCATTATTAGAGGTCCACTGTTAAAAAAAAAAAAGCTTTTCACTGATATTCTGCCATATAATAATTATAAATCACCCAGAGTCCTACACTGCTGTTGCTAAGAGACACATTTCTCAGGATCCAAGTATCCATCTTCTTGTGATGTGTAAATATCATTGTAGTAACTGTCCTTGCTAATAGTAGAAAACCCCACCGTTTGATACCATCAAAATGTCCATTCCAGGACAAATTTTGCAGCAGGCAGGAATCTGAGGGAAGCAGTTTCACTCAGTTCACACTGACATGAGTGATCCTTACTTGGAAAGGTGGCACCTTCTACTGACTGAAGCTGGAAGCTTCAAGTTGTTCCCAGGGGTGCGATTCAACAACTGGTTCGGTTTGAGCATTTGCTACTGACCTCCTCCAGCAATCCCTGTGTGTTAAACAGCTGACACATGGCAATCCCCTATGCCGCGCGAATCAGCTGTGCTTGAAAAACAGGATATAAAGCACAGCCTAGAGCCTGGGCAGGCGGGCCCAGCAGCTGACTGTCGGAGCAAACCGAACCAGTTCGCTCCCAGCTGATCCTCGGAGCTACCGGTTCTGGTTGTTCCCTACAGAAGAACATTTTTATTCCAGGTTGCTGTATTTGTGCCTGCTAAAGACTAGTGATTATTACCTTTCATGTGTTGTAATTTTAAGTAATTACTCCAATTAACTATTTGATTAAACAGTTAATTAAAATTATAGCACATGGTAATATCCATTCATTTGAACTGTGAAGAAAAATGAAAACATATAGAATTGATTAAGTGTTTGGATTTTATTAAGAGCATGCAGGTACAAATTTGATAATTAAATAAGCAGGCATAATTACTTGTTTATTGAAGCCACTCAAGAGCCTACCAAGCTGTGGTACACTTCTGTGCAAAGAAGGAAAAGTCACATGTCGTTACAGAAAAATACCTTTTTAAAATATGGCTGTTGAAATTAAGATTTATTTTTTTAAATGTTTGAAATCCAGATGTGGATATTCTATCTCATTTCTGCAGAGTCTCTCCTGTTTTTGATATAGATTTTAATTTGATAAAGAATAAACTTGCCTCAATTTATTTAAAGTATTTCCTTAGATTGTCTTTTCAGGCATATATCACAACGCTAATGATACGTCACTTTATGGTGCACAGAGGCACATACATAGTGATTTCTCCTTTTGCTTTTCTGCCACAATATGAAACCTTAGTCCACTATTCCTAAAGACAGACCGGCCTTGAGGATGGAAGTTTGCTGGCGACTAAAAGCACCACCAGAGGTGGAATATGCTTTTTGTTGGTTCTCCTGTCACGTAGATGGATCTCTTTATCTCTAGCCACAATTTTTCATTTGTGAAGGACACCAGGTTTTTCTACTATGGCCTTTAGCTAAATTAAATCTGGTAAAATTCTCCTCTGTTTTCTTTTTCTTTTTAAAATGTTAGATCTTTGATAATGTTATTGCAAAATGAAAACATATGAAAATACAATGCAAAACATCCTCCTTCAAATGCTTAGGCCTAGAGTGAGGTTTTGTTTTGTAATTTGTTTCATCTTTACATGGGTTTTTAAAAAAAATATTTTAGTGTTTTGGATAAAAGTATTGCAATGATCAATGTTTTGGGATGGCTGAAATGCAAGTAATGTCATATTTTCGCTTACATTTACATCTGGTTTTTATTATGTGAAATATACATTTTGTAAGAGTGTGTATGCCTGTCTGTATCTCAGTTGTTAAAATACACATAGCCCTCGAGTTATGACCACCATAGAGCCCAAATTTTTTGTTGCTAAGCGAAACATTTTTGCCCCATTTTACAATCTTTCTGGCCAATGTGAATCACTGCAATTGTTAAGCTAGTAAAATGGTTGTTAAATGAATCTGGCTTCTCCATTGACTTTGCTTGTCAGAAGGTTGCAAAAGGTGATCATATGACCTCCGGGACGCTTCAACCATCATAAATATTAATCAGTTGCCAAGCATCCAAGGTTTCATTCACGTGTCCATGGGGATGCTGCAAAGGTTGTAAGTGTGAAAAATGGTCATTAGTCACTTTTTCAGTGTCCTTGCAACTTCGAATGGTCACTAAATAAACTGTTGTAAGTCGAGGACTATCTGTACTTAATTCTTCAATGTATGCTTTGAATCTAGGTTAGCAATTTGTCCACTAATTTCAGTTTATTTTCTATCAGTAATACGTAGGAATAGCTTTGGGATGGACATCTGCTGCCGAAAAGGATCAAGAAGCCCATTACAAGAACTCTACAACCCAACCCAGGTGAGTTCCCTCCAGTCATTCTGGAGACACTGTTCTTACCCCTTCTACTCTACTCTACTTCTACTGCTACTGAGCCATGGTGGCACAGTGGTTAGAGTGCAGTACTGCAGGCTACTTTTGCTGACTGCCGGCTGACTGCAATTTGGCAGTTGAAATCTCACCAGGCTCAGGGTTGACTCAGCCTTCCATCCTTCTTCCAAGCCAAGTAAAATGAGGACCCAAATTGTTGGGGGCAATATGCTGACTTTGTGAACCACTTAGAGAGGGCTGTAAAGCACTGTGAAGTGATGTATAAGTCCAAGTACTATTGCTATATAGCAGGGGCCTTCAAACTTGACAGCTTTAAGACTTGTGGACTTCAACTCCCAGAATTCCTGCTCCAGTCATGTTAGCTCAGGAATTCTGGGACTTGAAATCCACAAGTCTTAAACTTGCCAAGTTTGAAGACCCTTGCTATATAGTGAAGTGCATTAAGATGCCAAAAAAAAGGATGTCCTACCTTTGCTTATCTCAGAGTGCCCGTGAGTCCTTATCTTCTGTGGACAGAGCAGTAAAGTAGTGACAATACCTGCAGACTTACAGCATCTTTGTTTTCTTAATTGTTTGGAAGTAACTGCTGATGGTGAAAATGAAGATATAGAGGGAGAGAGTGAAAAACCTCACCATGGTGCTAACTGAAACCTGTTCCAGAGGGGGGAAATGTATTAACCTCTTGCATGTAAAGGAACAGTGTTTGTGCACTTTAACCACTAACACATTTCATTTTAAAGCTTTTGTGGATCACAATTCACTTCATTGGATGTTTGGAATATTGTCTTGAGAAAGGACGTATTGTAAACATAGTGTATGTTGTATCTCCCCCTGTTATTTGTGGGAGAGTGAAGGAGGGAATTGTAAAAAGAAAGATATTAAAAAGTAGTGAAATTTATTGTAATTGTAAACAAAAGAGGTAGTTAGATTTGGCAGATATTCTCTACCAATCAGCTGGTTTAAACATGTATTGTAATTAAACAAGATATCTGTATGTTCTTATTCACATATGTGTTCAATTATTTCAGGTATCAGAGAAGTAGAATACAATCCCCATTTTCTGTTGCATCTTGGAAGAGAAAGTCCTTTCAGCGATTGCAAACATTATAGGAAGTAGATGATTTGGGAAACCCAACTCTTCTTTAACATACTAATCTAGATTAGTCATCTACAAACTACCAATTACTGTAGTTTGGCAATAAAGCTTATGTGGCAAAAATTATTCTTAGGAATTGAACATATATTGCTCCTTTACTTAACGAATAATACCCATAGCAAGATTTTGTTACTGTAACCTTAAAATAAGGATAGTTTTAGCACTCCTGATTGGGACTTCTGGTGTGGAGTTTCTTGAGGGGCTGATATCAATCTTGCAAGTCTGAAGATACATTTCTTCCTGCTTGTTTTATGGCCCAAAGAACTAGGGAGGATTCATTCTGAGATACAGGTAGATCTCGGCTTACAATCACAACTGAATTTATATTGCTAAGTGAGAAATTTGTTACGTGAGTTTTAACCCCATTTTACAACTTTTTTGCCACATTTGTTAAGTGAATCACTGTAGTTGTTAAGTTAGTAAACTGGTTATTAAGTGAATCTGGGCTCCCCATTGACTTTGCTTGTTAGGAGATCACAAAACAGGATTTGTGATGACCCAGGGTGGGATACCAAATAAACGCAGTCACAAAAAACAGGTGAAGCCCCTTTTATTCCTTCACTTTGCTTCCAAGCTCCTAATATCTTTGACAGAAGACAAAAAAACTCCACACAAGCAGTTACAAGAAGGAGGGGAACAAAAAAACCCACAAACCAGGCAAGATAAGGGCTGGAGGAAGTCCACAGATAACAGAACAAACACTGGGAGGGACACCAAACTCAGAGAAGAACCATAAACTAGAGATATTTCCATGCTTTGTTTCCAGCATTTGCCTGTACGCATGTCCGTCCTCTTATTCAGTTGTCACAGCTGCAGCCCATGAAGAGGATCAAGGCACTCTCCTCCTGAGTAGACCACGTCTTTCTCTTATCCTCTCTTCCCTGTGTGCCCTAGGATGGAGAGGGGATGGGCCTGGGTCCTCCTCTGACTGCCCAGCCGGCCTCTGACCTTCCCCAGCTTCCTCCACAACCCCCGGAGCCACACTTCCACTCCCTGTCATCTGTTCCTTCTTTTCCCTCAGAGTCAGTCTCCACCAGGGGCATGACAGGATCAGGTGACCTTGGGACACTGCAACTGTCATAAAATATGAACATCTGAATGTAAATCACAGGATCATGGGGATGCTGCAACAGTCATAAGTGTGAAAAATGGTCATAAGTCATTTTTTTCAGTTCCTTTGTAACTTTGAAGGGTCACTAAATGAACTGTTGTAAATCGGGGACTAACTGTATTTCCCACCCCCACACTCTTTCTGAGGGCTTCGATGCCTCTTATCTCACCATTGCTTAATCTGTGATTCTTCCTCTTCCTCCTTATTCTCATAGACTGTTACACTATGGTTTTATGTTAGCAATGGATAGCGGGCACTCTAACCATATTTATTAGCATCAAGACTTGCTGATTATACAGTATATTTATTAACAATGAACAACATTTTGTGAAAATTGGTCAGATATTAACAGAAGTGTCCCATAATAAATCTCCTAGCTAGATTTAATAAGTCACTAAGTGATTGAAATATTAACTTGACCATAAATTGGGCACCCTTTCATTTTTAACAGAAGTGCTAGAAGTTGAGAGATGCATAATTGCCATAATGTGGGAGTATTGAAACTGCCAAGATATTAATATAATGTCATTAAGTGAGTCACAGTTTTACTTGAGATTGTATAAATTAGGGCAAGCCCTATGTATTGCTAACTGGAAGAGGTAAATAAAACTATCAAAAGAAAGAGAGTAAATCTGCCAAGAGGAAATAATAAAATCTATATTTATGAATGATTTATCTACTTACTAAAATCAGATGGATTCTGGCTTATGAATTTACAATACAAGATCAGTTTTAAAAAATGATTTAAATAACAATATATATATTCCAATTAGTAATTTAAATATTAAAGATAATAGCTAAATATAATTTACGATTTGCTGATTTACCATCAGTTTGTAATTAATATGCCCAGGACTTCTGGAATAGCCATGCTTTCACCTTTTTCTGCAAGATCCTGAGAAAGGAGAAACTCCTTATTTTAGATAGCAAGCTGAAGGACAGAAGCTGCTACAAAAAATACTCACTGTAGGGTCCTCTCCTACCATTCCTCTTGGGAGGAGGAAGCTCTAAGTAACCAATCCTTAGTTGTTTGGGTAGGGAAGAGTAGTCTGTAAGATATCCAGTTTCTAAGCCAGGGGTATCAAACTTGCGTCGTCATGGCGGCATCATGTGATGTATCTGGACTTTTTCCCTCTTTACTAAATCGGGCGTGGGTGTGGCCAGCATGTGATTCATCCGGCCCGTGGACCACAAGTTTGACAGCCCTGTTCTAAGGTGTATATAATCTATGTAAGCGATAACTACCCTGTTTCTCCAACAATACGGCCTCCCCCAATAGGAAGTCCCAGCATGTTTTATAGGCATGAAATAAAATTAAGCCCCTCCCCCCAAATTAAGGCCTATATTAAAACATGCGAAATGGGGGGGATGGTGGGGGGGCTTGCCATTAGGAAGTACTTTTGTTGCACACCCGGATATGGTGCTGCCTGCGTTGACCCCGATACGAAGTGCTCCACCAACGCTGAGGTCAACATCCAAGCCGTCGCTGCCTGCCCGCCCAAAGATGCAAGGGGGGGAATTAAGTCACCCCCGAAAAGACAGCCTAGCCATTTTTTCGGGGCTCAAAAAAAAATAAGACCCGGCTTTATTATATGAGAAACACGGTAGCACTCTGAATTGCACTTGGAAAACTACTAGTAACTAGGCAATTCCTGCAACAGTAGTATAAAATGGCAATATTCTGAGTATTGCATATGCATATACCCTAATTTTGTGGACCAGCTGATCTTCATGAACAGCTCCATGTAAACTGAGTTTTAGTAATCCAAACTAGAGATGGCATGGCCATTTTCATGCATCCTGTTTCAGATAAGGCCACAAATGGCACTTTGTCAGCTCCTGCCAGTTTCCAACTGCTTTTCAAGCAGGAGGTGTGATTTTGGGAAGATCTCCAAATTGTGCTTCATTTCTTTCTGAACTGCAATCCCATTAATAAACAAAGGTGCAGCATTCCTGGAATCAATCAGTCTGTGAATCAACAGCCATTCCATTTTGTTTGGGTTGAGTCTCAGCCTGTTTTTCTCCATTCAGCCCCAGATAGCCTCCATATACCAGATCATGCCTTCTACTGCATTTCCCCATGGACCTGAGCTAGAGATATATAACTGAATATCAGCAATGTATTAATGATACCTCTATCTGAACATAGAGGTAACTTCTCCCAGAAGTTTCATGATGATAGTAAACCTTTACCTGTTTTTAGTGAATAGGTGGTGAGGGAAATTTATTCTAACCTCTATTTCTGGGTTTCTGGGTTTCTGGGTATATTGAGAAGCATACAGTATGTGCTTGCTATTTCCCAGTTCCTATCGCTAAAAGTTATAAAATAGGATACAAGCATGAGACCTTTCAATAGATCTGAATTCCACAGAACCAATGAATGTAACTGTATCCTGCTCTTTTGTGGGTAAGCAGTGAGTCCAGTTTGAGAATACTATTCTCTTTCATTCCTTTCTAATTATGTTTTCTCCAAATATTCGCCATTAGAATTCCTTCAGTGTCTTCCAAGTGGGGAGAGCTAAGTAGAGTCAATGTTTAAATAAGGCCAGAATTTCTCATCGTCATGATTGAATGGGACTTTTTCACAGATAGAGATTGCCACCAGTACACTGGCATTTCTGTTCATGTTGGATTGAAGGAAGGGGAAGAGGTGGGGAGAGAGAGGAAGGGCAAGAAATGGTAAGACTCTAGAGAGCATTCAGC